CGGCCCGGGCCCTGGCCCCGGCGCTTCGGAGCGGGTGACGCTCAAGAAGGAGATCGGGCTGCTGAGCGCCTGCACCATTATCATCGGTGAGCCGGGTGCCAAGGCGGGCGGGGGCCAGGGCCGCAGGGCCGAGGACGCAGCGCTCCGAATTAGGGGCAGCCCCTCTCCTTAGAGCGCGCAGGGCCGGCATGCAGGGCAAGGGCTGGCAGGGCACAGGCTGGCACTGGGGCCCCAGAGCTGCTTGTTCCCACCTCCCTGGCCCCTCAGAAGTTGTGCGCCTGAAGGACTTTGGGTCTTTTCCTCCTGCCTTTACTTCTCTGTGGGTCTTTAGCAAGGCAGTTACCCTGTTTCCTCATCCATGAAGTGGCGGTAGTGACTACAGTCCTGTCTAGAGTACAGGGTTTGCCAGTGTGGGAGCTGGTCAGGCAGAGGCCTCAGGTGTGGGGCTGTGGGGCAGTCTGAGTTCCTACTGTGTGCAGGTCTAGGTGGCATGCAGCGCTGGTGATGTATTCTTGGAAAGCAGGAGGGACGGGTTGAGCTGTCCGGGGAGCAGGTTCGGAACCTGCATCTCTGCAGGGCTGGGCAGCAGGATGGGGTGGGGGCAGGGTGGAAGGAGGGGACAGTGGTGGGCAGACCAAGCCTGCAGGAGGACCAGCTGCTCCCTGGGCTGGCTTCCCAGCAGGCACTGGCATGTCTGGCCTTCTGGCTTCATTTCTCCACCTGAGAGTGGGTCCGAGAGTCCTGCCCCCACAGAGGGCTTCTGGGTAGCCAGGGAGCTTGGAGCAGTGAGAATGGCAGCGGGAGTTTCCTCTTTGTGTTCCAAGACATGAACTGACTCCTCCGGAACTGGGCTGACCCAAACCAGCGCCTTGGTCCACATCAGGTGCCACCGTTTCCTTCTGGGGAGGGACCTGTTCTGTTCCTGTCTCCTGGAGGATCTAGCTAGGAGCACAAGTATCTGGGTCTTCACCACCTGCTAGCTTTCCTGTTCCCAGGGCCCCAGCCAGTGGGGAACTAGTTGGGCGGCACCCACCGCCCTCCCACCCTCCGACTCCTGGAGTTGGGGAAAGTTTGGGGCAACCAGCAGAGCAGACCCAGGGGCTCCACCTTCTCCTCCTTCTCTTCTTCCCCCACTTCCTCTCTGTCCTACACATTCGCCCCACCTGGGTCAGAAATGGCTCTGGCTCTTGGCCATCCCCTACACCGCACATCAAGAGTTACCTCTGAGCCGTTTCACCCCCCTGCCCCTGCAATGGTATCTCCCAGGAGCTGGTCCTGATCTGACCCTGGCAGCTTCCTGGCCTAGGGTGCCCCTGCTGGCCTGTCTGCAGGAAAGAAGGGCTGGTTCTGGGGATTTGGCCAAGATGCCCAGGTCCCCCTCTCCAGGAGCTGTGCCCCTGGAAGAGGAAGCTCACGTCTCATGCATGGGCCATAGATCAGGAGGCTGATGATTCTGAAGCCCTCTACAGCGTGCCCAGCAGGGAGGGCTGCCCCAAGTGAGCCCAGCCACCTTGTCCTGTATTCCTACTCTGTACTCTCCCCCCATCCCATCCTCTAAGAGGCAGACCTGCCAGGGCTGCCCGCTCTGTAGAAGAAGGCCCTGGTGGTGTCAGCGGCAGTGGAGGAGGCTAACTCCACCATTGCACTCCTTCTCCAGGACTGACCCTGTAAGTTTCCATGCGGCACAGTCTGCCCTGCCAACTCCCTAACCCTGCAGTTCATTCCCGCTGTTCCAGCTCCACCACCTTCCCTCGGTCTCCTTGAAGGCCAAGTCAGGGTAAAGGGCAACTTGGCTAACCGAGGGTGGTGGATTCAGGAGCCGAACCCAAAGGACCTGACCCCCAGCCCAGTGGTGGTCCTGTGAGCCTGGCTTGGGGAGCTTCGAAGGGTCCCTGCAGGTGTGAGCTGGACAAGGGGAGACCCTGGAAGGTGAAGGAGATGAGGGTCAGGCAGGCATGGGCTGAGTCAGGCAGGGTCTGCACCACCCTCGCCAGCTGATGCCCTGAGGGCCCCCACACTGCCCCAGCCACTGCTGCCGGGTCATCTCCCACGACCTCTGCAAGAGCTTCCTTCTCTACACCACTACCCTGGGGAGCCTCTTCAAAGTCACAAATGTCTGCAGAGTGTCATATTTTAGCTTTTAAAGTCTCCAGAACTTACATCTGCTTTGTAGTCTAAACTTGCTTGTTAGCAATTTCTGAACTTGTTATCTCCAAACTTCCAGACTCTCCAGGAGGTCCTGCAATCCCCTGCCCCTTTCACCCCTTGCCCATCCCAGGCTAAGGAGTGAGCCTTGGAGAATGAGGAGTTCTGAAAAGGCCAGCTATGGGCAGGAGTGAGACTCCGCCTCACATGGGTATGGGACAGTGCGTGCCAGCCACAGTGACCAGTGCGGCTGGAGGACACGGAGCCAGCTGTGGCCGGGGCTATGCAGGCCACGCTGTCATCTAGTACCTGTTTAGAGAACTCTTCTTATGACATTGTGAGACATTTTCTTCCTTTGTCTCATTTCATCATCACACCCACCTCACTAGAGAGACGTGTTCATACCCACTTTAAAGAGGTAGACACTGAGGCTGGATATTAAACCTCACGACTGCAAGTGTTGAACTCAGGATTTGAACCTGATTTGGATTCAGCTCCTGATGCTCTTCATGGAGCATTGATGCTGAGCAAAATTGGGGCCAGATTCAAAGCTCTTGAGAGGGGCTGGGAGCTCATCCGACCAGAGTTTACTGAGCCCTCCATTCCGCTATGCATGGACAAACAGCAGATGGACAGAGAGGTCCCCTGTGCACACTCCTACAGCTGCACAGGGACCCTCGTCCTGAGGCAGGGACCTCAGCCAGCTCTGTCACCTGCATTCGTCACTAAGGAAGAGACGTGCCCGGATTCAGCAGAGTGGGAGTCACCCACGACTGGACAGGCACTGCCTCCACTCGCTCGCTTCGACTCAAGCATCCAGCTCAGGCAGGAGGTTGTAGGTCGGTCTCAAGTACATTCAGGGACTCGGGGGTCTACTTCATGACCTCCTCTCCCTAAGAGCCAATCCCCACTCATCTAGCCTGGGTGGCTGGGCTGCTCAGAGCCCCTACCTCCCTTCCACCCCTCCTCCCTGGGACTCTGAGAAGACAGAAATAAGAGCTTACTGTGCCTTACCACAGACCCTTACACATGGGGAAACTGAGGACCTGGACTGTGACCAGCCCAGAGTCAGGTGCCCTTGGTGTGCTCTGGGACACCCTCGGGGGTCAGGGCAGCTTGAGCTGCAAAGAGGGGGACAGCTTGGTGCATCTACGTAGCAATGATGTAGGGGACAGGACAGGTCAAGTCCCTCTCCCCCTGGAGCTGACCCTTTGCTCTGGGGTGGGGGGGGGAAGTCAAAGGCAAATGAGATAAACAAGCCACGTGGAGCCACAGGGTCGTGGTCAGCCCGAAGAGCAGTCCAGGGAGGAGGACGCAGAGTCAAGGAGTGGTCCAGGGTGGGGTTTGTGCGGCGAGGGCGTGGCCATTTTCTCTTGGGGAGGTGGGAGCCCTGTAGGACTTTGAGCAGAGGAGGGATGGCTGGGGCTGACTGGGCTCACTGTGGCGGGGAAGCTGCTGGGGCTGTGGGGGGACAGGGCAAGAGCAGGGAGGCCGGTCAGGCCAGAGAATAGCCTCGGCAGGAGACTCGGAGGCTCAGGGCAGGGACAGTGGACGCTCAGCTCTGAGTTCCCGAGGTAGAGCCAAAGGATTTGGGAGGAACTGGATGTGGGTGTGGGAGGAAGCAGGGCTCAGAGGAGGAGGTTATGGTCAGCGGGGTGCCCTCACTGCCTGGGGAAGACTGTGAGGGCACAGGTCAGGAGGAATTGGGTCTTGAACACGGACGGTTTGCAGTGCCACTCAGTACTTTTCAGATGGAGGTATAGTTCAGTTTAGTGCAGAGGTCCATGCTAGGATTTAAACGTGGGAGTCGCCAGCAAAAGCCGAGGGGACTGGCTGAGCTCTCCAAGGGAGTGAGTGTAGAAGGAAAAGAGAAGAAGCCCCAGGACGGAGCCCTGGGCACCCGGCATTGACAAGTCACGGGAGAGAGGGGACTTGCAAAGGACTTCAAGGACTGGCCAGGCCAGCGAGGTGGGAGGAAGACCAGGAAGCCGAGGGAGGAAGTGGTCACCTTACCAAAAGTGCCATGCGGGATGCGGCCTAGGGATCTGGCAACATGGAGCTCACCGGTGACCATGACAAAGCTCAGCCTGGAGACAGGCTGTAGACTGGGCTGGGCGAGCTGGGCTGAGGGACCTTGCTTCTGCTCTGCCCCTTGCTCCGAAGGAAAGTGGGTTAGGCTGGAGGTGCATGCTGGCCAATGAGCAATTCTGGGCACGTCCCGAGTGGCCCCCTTGGGGTTCTGCCAAGGCCTCGGTAGGCGTATCTGTCATCCCAGAGGTATCTGACATATGCTTAGCATGTGGTCACTCATGAGCTCAGGGGTACGGACTTTACCCAGGCCACAGCAGGCTGTCTGCTCCGCCCAGAATATTGGGCTTCTATGGGTCTCAGGTCTCCAGGGAAAATATTGGGCTGCCTAGTGGGTCTCCAAGGTGGGTGACAGTAGTGAGACTAAGTACTTCCTGTGGGTGTTGACGTGCCGTTCAGGGTCAAGAGCGTGCCAGCACAAATGGCCTTTCTGGCCATCTTCCAGGGTCCACGAGAGTGGGGCAGAGTCCACGATATACGAGCCAAGGTGGGAGGTCGAAGACAGCTTCCTGGAGGTGGTGTCACCTCATGGAGGCCAATGAGTGGGGAGGGACCTGCCACAGTGGAGAATGGAGGCCTTGAGTGGACCGTTTCCTTGGGCCCAGTGTAGATGTGTGGGGTGCATCCTCCCTGCCAACCTCAGGGTTAGGCCAGCCCTCTGCTGACCCCAGCCCAGTGCCACCATCCCCATCAGGTGGAGGAACTGAGGCCCGGAAGGGCAGCATTGCCCTGAGGTCACACGACTGACTTCTGCGTGTGTTTCTAGGGGTGAGGGTGGTCCAGCATTCTGGCCTGACCTCCCTGCGTCCTCCCCAGTCAGACTGCACATTCCCCGCACACACCTCAGGGCCAGGTGGCTGGTTCTCTGACTCGACCTCCACGGTCCACCCCAGTGACCTCCATGGTCTGCTGCTGCCTCCCAGAAATAGGTCAGCTCACACGGCAGTGGCCACTGGAACAATGGCCCTTTCTTCGTTCCTCCGAGGAGCCGGGTAAGCCCCATCAGGCCAAACATCTTAATGTGATAAAAACCACCCAGCGAATGCTCAGGGAAGAGGGGCAGGAGGAGGAGCCTCGAGGGAGGCCTGTGGTGGGGTGGGAGGGGCTCACACCCTCACCTACCTGCCCGCTGAGGACTGCAGGGACCACTGAGCAGCTGTCCCATTGAGTGGACAGGAACGTGGAGGCCTCCGATCTGCATCTTTCTGGCCAGACACCCAGCAAGCACCCAGCACTGTCTCCCAGCTCAGCCCATGTCTCCTGGTCCTGAGTCCCTGCCCCTCCTCCACTTCTTTTGAACCAGGATCCCCCAGGGACTGGTGTGGCCCCTGTGGTTCCTCACAGCAGGCAGATCTGCTGGGCCTGATCAAAGGGTCTGAGAGGGGAGGCCTGAGCCCATCACCACGACCAAGCAGGCACCCCTGCAGCACCCTCTTCCAGCTCGGGGGTCCTTCCTCTGCATCTCCTGCAACCTTCAAACCGCAGATCCCTGTCCCCAGATCCCCCTCTAAGCCTCTGGCCCCGTGACTCCTTGCAGAGTTCCCACCTACCCACATGGTGCCACAAGCAATCAGTGAGCTGTGCTGAGGTTATTTTCCCCCCTTTTTTTCTTTTAAGAATGATTTATTTAATTTTGTTATCAGTTTTTATTTTAAAAATTATCCAGTTTATTTTATTTTTTAATTTCACCAGAGAAAGGCAGAGAGAGAGAGAGAGAGAAAGGGAAAGTGAGAAAGCAAGCCACCAGGTCCAGGACTCAAACTGTGGTCCATTATGTGGGAGTCCAGTGCCCTTAACTACCACGCCACCTGCCGGCCCCTGTCATTTAGTTTTAAATCTGACCAGAGAAAGACAGAGAGAGAAAGGGAAAGTAAGAAAGTAAGCCTCCAGGTCTGGTATTCGACCCACGGTTGGCCATGTGGGAGTGCAGCACCTTAACCACCACACCACCTGCCAGCCCCTGTGCTGAGGTGTTCTGCCACCTTCAAGCCCGAACCTGAGGCTGGAGATGCTGGCGGTTGTCAAGATCCAGAGGGAGAGGCCCCTGAGGACCTTGGAGACACTGGCTACACCCGTGATCCCTTGAGCCACGCAGGGAGAAGTCCTGAGGCCGCACGTCCAAGACAGTAGTGGCACATCTGCCCCAATGGAGCCCACCATCCGGGTCCTCAGCCACTGGACGTAGAACTAGTGATGTGCTCCTTTCAGACCCCAGCACTGGGAGAGTAGGTGCCAGGTGTGGCTTCTGAGTGCCCACAAGGCCCCACTAGGCCAGATCAGGTAGAGTGGTGGGGTCTCTGCAGAGTGGGCGGCTCGGGCCCTGCATGCCTGAACATACCCAGCTCCTTCCCAGGCCACCCAGCCCCCACTGGCTTCCAACCTCGCTGGCTTCTGGCAAATCCCCCTCCGCCAGGTCTTGAGAACAGAGGCACTTGTGCCGGGTGGAGGGAATTCAAAGGCCCTTTAGAAACAGGCAGCCCACCCAGGCCCTGGGCCCCTCCTGGTCCCTGAGGGAAGAGGCTCCTCACCCCTCAAAAGCTGGCGGAGGGCACAGCTTACCTCTGGAGAGGGGCGCACGGGAATTATTTCATCCTTATCTGGATGTATTTAGGGCTCCTGGGATGTGACCAGAAAACCAAGTGGGGTGTCGTGGCCGTCCAGACTGGAAATCTGTGTCGGCCGGGGGTGGGGGTGGGGGACAGCACCGTGGACAAGGAGTGAATGCAGATTGGCGGCCACCACTGTGTCCTCATCCAGCCCCGCCTGTGGGCCTGGCAGGTGGAGTAGGCGTGTGCGCCCTGATGATGGACGGGCACCCTGCTGGAGCCCTGTCAGGTAGGGCCAGCCTTGTCCAGGGGCTGAGCCCAGGGCCCTCCAGGGCTGGCTCTTCTGTTCATGTGACCCGTGCTCCTGGGATTATTTCCTCTTGGGCAGGCCCCCAAATCTCCAGTTGCATTCCCCGATTGGTTCAAACCAAAGATGAGACCCCAGAACCCAGAACCTCGCCTTGCAAACTGCCCCACAGACTGTGGCTTGACCCTCCGAATGTCTCCTGTTGTTTCAGAGTGCAGGGGGCATGCTCTCGGACCCCTTGTTTCTTTTCCATTTGTAAAAAAAAAAATATTCATAGGAGAGACCATGGATACCCACACGAGAGGGACAGAACAAGAGAGGGGAGGTGCCCCTGACAGTGTCTTCTCACATCTGAGTCCTCCAATCAGGATCGTGGGCAGGCGTGCGCGTGGCGTGTTTGCAGATCAGCCCAGGCTCTGAACCCACATTTGACCACGTGCCTTCTAGCACTGCAGCTCAAGATGCTTCCCCTGTGCCGCCGAGGCTGGGCCCATGCCCAGGCATCTTGAGGTAACAGGAGCACTCCCTCCTCCACCCCTGCCCTTCCAGGGCATGGCGTCCACCGCAGGGCAGAGCAGAGCAGGCTTCTGGGAACCACAGCACTCCCCTTGCGCAGCACCTCAGATGCCTGCTCCCTTCCCTTCGGCCTCTTGGTCCCCACTCTGGGAGCACCGAGGGAGCCCCATGCCCAATCAGACAAGGAAATCAGTCCTTCTTGCCAAGGCGTGGATGCCACCTTGGCTCTCAAGCCACTTGCCATCCACTGGTTTGTGGGACAGATAGGAACTGAGCAGCTGCTGTGCTGAGGCCTGGTCCGGGAAGGCAGGGCTTGGGAAGGCAGGGAGGTGCCGCCTGCGAGGGGGGTGCCAATGGTACGTGAGCGATCACGCCGAGATACAAAGCGGGCCTCAGGCACGCTGGGAATGAGCTGAGGGCTGCACGTGGTACCTCACTGAGCCCCCAATAGCCCGTCTTACAGGCGCGGACTGGAGGGCAGGAAGGGCCCCCTGGCCTAGGAGGAACAGGGCCCCAGCCAGAGCCCGGCAGAGACTTCCCGCTGTGTGGCTGGGCTCCGAGCTGTGACCCCGTTCATAGTCAGAGCTGCCCCACAGGCACCGGCAGTCTGTCCAGACCCCAAGCCAAGCCAAGAGCCTCTGCCAGCCTACCACCCACTACCCGATTCCTGCCTTGGTGGCTTCTGACCAACCTGCGGCCCTGGCCCTCACCCAGGACCTGAAGCATTTCAATGACTCCAGGAAACAAGGTCTCTTTGGAGTTTCCATCCACAGCCCGAGTTCTAGGTTAGCAAGGAGCCCAGGAAGCAGGGGACAGACTCCCTGATAGGGAAAGGGAGGATAGAAAATAATGAAATAAATACAGAGTAGGGCCATGGAGTGGAAAGAGGTGGTGAAGGAGGGCTTCACAGAGGAGGTGCTACTCCCTGAGCCACTCTGTGAGTTCAGACCACGGCCACAGGAAGGTGTCAGGAGGGTGGTCAAGGTCTTGTTTTAGGAGGCCAGCTCTGGGCAGCAGGTTGGAGGGAGGATGTGGCTAGAAGCTGATGAGATGGGGCCCAGGCCGGAGGTGAAGGCCTGAGCATGGGCCCTATGGGGGTGACTCTCATTGCTGCTCTACTTCACGGGGATCGGTGGCTGCAGAGGAATTCAGACAGGACAGGGGGCCTTCTCTGGCAGGGGGCCTGAGTGGCTGGACCAGGTGCCATTCTCCATGCCAAGGACAGAGGAGGGGGCAGACAGTGAGTCCAGGATGGGACTTGCTGGGTTTGAAGGGCCCAGTGGCATTCATGCCTTCAGGCCCACTCCCTTCCTCCTCCTCCAGGAAGCACCCCAGGCTTCCTTCCTCACTGTAGAACCCATATCCCTACAGAGAAGACTGGGCTGCTGAAGGGGACCCCAGGCCTGACGTCTCTCCCTCCTTTCCCCACAGGTAACATCATCGGCTCGGGCATCTTCATCTCACCCAAGGGCGTCCTGGAGCACTCAGGCTCTGTGGGCCTGGCCCTCTTCGTCTGGGTCCTGGGTGGGGGTGTGACTGCTCTGGGCTCCCTCTGCTATGCAGAGCTGGGAGTTGCCATCCCCAAGTCCGGTGGGGACTACTCCTACGTCACAGAGATCTTCGGGGGCCTGGCTGGGTGAGTGTCAGGCACCACAGCTCGGGGGGGGCCTCTTGGGAACTGGAGGGCCAGCTGGGCCCTGGGCCTTAGTTTCCTCTCCTGCCTCCACATCCCAGGGAAATCAAGGGGGTGGAAGGACAGAGGGAGTCAGGGTGCGGGCAGCTCTTCAAGGCCCACGCTACTCCACTGACACGTGCTGGATACGCCAGGGGGCCCTCGACCTCTGTATCTCCTTGTACTTTCATTTTTATTCTTCATTCATGATAGAGCATGTGTGTGCTCACGCAGGAGAGAGAAAGAGACAAGCACTCTTCTCAAAGTCTGGTCACCCAGCCATCTCCTTCCTCCAGGCCTCTAGCCCGTCAGATCCTGGGCTCCACATGTGCGCTGACCGGGGTGGGGATTCAAACCACAGTCACCCTGTGAGAGCTGGCTCCTCTGGAGCAGCACGTTACCACTGCACCACAGACCTGGCCTTGCATATGCTTTTAAACAGAATTCCCTCAAAGCCCTGCTCTTATGGAGGAGGCAGCTGTACGGCCTGAAACCACCAGATAATGCTAGTACCCAGGCAAGGAGCTTTGATTTGATTGTTTTTAAGAGGTTTTTGTCTTAGCATGTATGCTCACTGGAGAAAGAGACAGAGACAGTAAGAGGGAAAATGAGAAATTGCCCCCCAGAAGGGCATGGTCGCACCACAGTCCCTTCTCCTCCCAGGATCTTGGGCACGCAAGTACACACACTCGGCATGATTTTCAAGCCACTGGGTCCAGAACCCGAACTGCACCTGGCCATGTGGGAGTTCAGCAACATAACCGCTATGCCATCTGCTGGCCCCGGAGCTTTGATTTTAGTAAACCCACAGGAGGAGCAGGGAGGGAGGCAGGACATTCCTACCACGTTCCCTGGAAGAGGTTCCTTTAAACAGCTGCCTGATATCTCTCTACCAGTGAGCTTGTGCTGAGCGCCTACTCTGACCTAAGGGCGGAGGTTGTAGTATGAAAGACTTGTCTCGGTCTCCAGGTCACTCAGAGCAGAGGAAACAGCCCCTCAAACGTGATGAACGCGCAGAGCATCCTTGCTTTGAGGAGCCGCCCCCAGCAGCGAGCAGGGTGCACACCACCAAGGGAATGCGCCCAGGGAAAACTTTGCACCAGAGCTCGGAGGGTGGGACTTGGACAGCCAGCCAGTGAGGAGGGCACCCAGCCGGAGGGAGCGTGCACAGAGGGCATGGGGGCCCAGGCGAGCATGGTCTGTCTGCTGTAACTAGAGGCAAGGTCGGGGTCAAGGCAGACGCCAGGGCTAGCTAGGGGTCGGGGGTCTGAAGCCCTCGCATTCGTCCGGATGAGTCATGCCTGTATTCAAAGGTACCAACAGATTCCAAAATCACTGAGGAGCCTAATTCTGGAGGAGGTAGAGCCACCGTGGCATGGGTGCGGGGGGTGCGGGGTGGATTCCTACTAAAAGAGGCTTCATAGATGGTTGCTTGGGAGGGGAGGGGTGATGTCGGGGCCTTAGGGTGGGTCTGGGGACGTCCAGAGAGACACCCCATCATGTCTTGTGTACAGGGCCTGGAGGGCAGAGGACAATTCTAGGCCAAAGGGTACAAGGTTTGAGGAGTGTGGACCAGGGGCCCTCAACTGGCCAGCCATGGCTAGGGCCCTGCCAGATGTACACAGCTGGTGGGCGTATGTCTGTGGGTCCCCTTTTCTGAGGGGAGGGTCTTCAAAGGGGCTGGGACTCAAGAAAGCAAAGCAGTCATGCTGCGGACCTGGGGAGGACTTGCCGTGAGAAGGTGGGCGGGAGAAGAGGGCCCAGGAACCGACCCCTGTGTGTGGAGGAGCGGGCAGAGGGGACACCTAGCCAGGGAGGAGGCCCGGTGAGCTAGAATGTTCTAGAAGCCAAGTAGGGAGGGTCAAAGGCAGCAGGAGGTCATACACATGGCTGCAGAGCAAAGGTGAGAACCAGGAGGAACATGGAACTTGGGGGCCAGAGGTCATTGGCACACTCCTGATAAGGCAGGCCCCACCCTTGAGAGCTGGCCAGGGGCTAGGACCCCCCAGGAGCAGACCCTTCCCAGGTGAGGCCTCATAGCCTTGAGCACAGGGCCTCTCCAGGGTGTGCCCGCCTCTGGGACTCCTGCTCCACCGCGGCCCTCACACTTGCAGCTTCCTACTGGTCTGGAGCGCCATCCTCATGGGCGCCATCCTCATGGGCGCCACCCTGCAAAGGAAAGGTTCAGGCAAAGGAGCAGAAATCACCCTCCAGCCCCTCCAGAAGGTCCAGCCCTACCTACTCGCCACAGGCCTCCCTCGAAATTATGATGCAGATTCAGTCACCCTCAGCCACACGGCTCCACTGAGATCCAAGGCTACAGGGACAGTCCCTTGGCTCGGGAAAGACACTCTCTGGCTCGGGGCTGGGTGGTCACTAGGGGGTATTTGGTACCTGGTCCCTCCCGACACCTGCCAAGGTCAGCCCTGCTGAGGTTTAAGTATATTGAACACCCTCTCTGTTACAACAGTCAGCAATGGGCCAGCAGGTGGTATGGACTGCGGAGGCTAAGGCAGCTGCATCCCACATGGCAACTGAATGGTTCGAGTCCTGTACCTGGTGGCTTGGAAAACGCTCCAGGTGCACGTGCATGCGTGACCAAAAGTCTCAAGAGGAGAATGAGAGAGAAGGGATTGCATCATGGCCACCCCTCTTGGAGTGCTTTCTCACTTCTTTCTCTCTCTCTCTGTTGAGTGCACACACCCTATAGCAAAAATTAAAAAAAAAAAAAAAAAAAAAAACCCTCTCAATGTTTTCAGCAGTGAGATCTCAAGGTTGACCCTATCTCCCTGGATCAAAGCCCTTGGCTGCCGGGCCCAGGCACCCACCCCTCTGGGCTGCTCGGCCAGCCAGGAGAGCCGCTGGGCCGCCTGCATCACTGCTGGCCTCACTCTTGCAGCTTCCTGCTGCTCTGGAGCGCCGTGCTCATCATGTACCCCACCAGCCTGGCTGTCATCTCCATGACCTTCTCCAACTACGTGCTGCAGCCCGTGTTCCCCAACTGCATCCCCCCAGCCGCCGCCTCCCGGGTGCTCTCCATGGCTTGTCTGAGTGAGTGCCCGCCACCCAGACCGCACCCTGCCCAGGGCAGGAGGGCAGTGGGTGGGACGGGGTCCCCACAGCTGTCCACTCCTGCACGAGTGGCTTTGGTCTGGGCTTCCCACCTTCTGGCCACCACAGGGTATGCCGTTCTCCTGCCACCTGGGCTGGACTCTGCCGAGGCCAGTCTTGGGGGTCCTCGGCCTCAGGCACCCACCGCCCCTTCCCTCCCCAGTGCTGCTGACATGGGTGAACAGCTCCAGCGTGCGCTGGGCCACGCGCATCCAGGACGTGTTCACGGGCGGGAAGCTCCTGGCCTTGTCGCTCATCATCGGCGTGGGCTTTGTCCAGATCTTCCAAGGTAGGGCAGGGTGGGCATGGGGGCGAGGGTGGAGACAGTGCTGACCCCTGACTTCTGGACCCCCCAGGACACTTTGAGGAGCTGAGGCCCAGCAATGCTTTCGCCTTCTGGATGACGCCCTCCGTGGGTCACTTGGCCCTGGCCTTCCTACAAGGCTCCTTTGCCTTCAGCGGCTGGAACTTCCTTAACTATGTCACCGAAGAGCTGGTGGACCCTCGAAAGTGAGTGGGGTCCCTGGCCCGGCACTGGAAAGGATGGAGAGGTGGCCTGTCTGCACAGACCTGTTGCCACCTGTGGCTCAGACTGGTCATCAGCTGCCCCACAGGACCTCCGCCCTGGAAGGAGAGCCAGGACACACGTGGTCTAGCCTGGCCCCGTTTTCCATGGCTGGGGATGCATCAGGGGGCCCTCTCTGGGCTTCAGAAAGACAATGTATCATTGTCATGCTGTAAATAGATCCAGCGATTTGCATTTGGCCAAAAAGGAGACATATGCACACAACATGGTCCTACAGAGGAAGCCAGGACTGTCTGATGCTCAGCCAGTCATCCTGGCAGTGAGCAGCCAGGCCGCGTGGGCCGGGATTGCCGCGGCCCCGGGGGACACCCTGGCTCTGTGGACTGCGTGCTTGGGGGCTGTCCAGGCTGACTTGGGGTATGTGCTTTTCCCTTTAGGTACAGACATTAGACCTTGCCCTTGGGACACAGTGTGGCCCCATCTGCCCTTCCTTCTGCCAGGAAGGGGTGGGAGCTGAGGGAGAGGCAGAGAGCCATGGCCCCTGCCCCAGGGCTCCCTACCCCAAGCTCCCGGCAGATGCAGGAGATGGAGGCTCAGAGCTGTTGCAGGTCCTCTGGGTCCCCCCTCACACCCCACCCCCTGCTCGCAGGAACCTACCTCGTGCCATCTTCATTTCCATCCCGCTGGTGACCTTCGTGTACACGTTCACCAACATCGCCTACTTCACGGCCATGTCCCCCCAGGAGCTGCTGTCCTCTAATGCAGTGGCCGTGGTGAGTGGGGCCCCTGACGCTCCCTGGTTCCTACCCGGCCCTCCCTGGCCTCACGCGGGGCTCTCCTCTGTGCCCACTCAGACCTTCGGGGAGAAGCTGCTGGGCTACTTCTCTTGGGTCATGCCTGTGTCCGTGGCACTTTCCACCTTCGGAGGGATCAACGGCTACCTGTTCACCTCCTCCAGGTGACTGGGCTGGGGGGAGGTGTTCGCGGTCAGGCGAGGCAGGTGCCCTCATGTGCCCAAGCCATGCTGGGGCCCACAGGAAGGGGAAGCCTGCCAGGTGGAGAAGCCCATCGGAAGCTGGGACGATGAACCTACCGGTAGCAAATGTCCAATCCCAGCTCAGAGGTGAAGAAAGTGAGGAGGGGGGCCTAGATGAGGGGACGAACTCCCCAGAGGGGTTGCCGGGGTCTGGGTCAGGAGGTCAGTGGTGACATCAGAGCCAGAACTGAGGTCTGGAATCTGGCTGGAGGTTGGGCTCATGGCCCCCGCCCATCTCTGTCCCCATCCCAGGCTCTGCTTCTCTGGAGCCCGAGAGGGGCACCTGCCCAGCCTTCTGGCCATGATCCACGTCAGGCGCTGCACACCCATCCCTGCCCTTCTCGTCTGCGTAAGTTGGGGAACTCAGGCCAGGCAGGGTATGGAGCTGGGGCCACCCAACAATATGGAGCTTTCTGGGTAACGGCAGGGCTGAGTCCCTGGGTCCAGCCCAACGGGGGCACGGGGAGGGGCCTGGTTCACCAGACCTCCTGGCCTGAACGGGCAGGCCCAGGGCAGCCTGCAGGGATGACAGGAGGCAGGCAGGAGGCCAGCTGTCAGCCCCAGGTCCTCTCCCAGTGTGGGGCCACGGCGGTCATCATGCTTGTGGGAGACACATACACGCTCATCAACTACGTGTCCTTCATCAACTACCTCTGCTATGGCGTCACCATCCTGGGCCTGCTCGTGCTGCGCTGGAGGCGGCCGGCGCTCCACAGGCCGATCAAGGTGAGGTCTGGGGGCGCCACCAGGGCAGGGGCAGCGCAGGCTGTGCTCAGGCCTTTACTTACACGGACATATTGGCTCCTCCTAACAAGGCCAGGAGGAGGGCGCTTTTAGTTCTCCCAGCGTACAGATGAGCGGAAGGCTAAGGCTCTTGCCCCAGGTCACACAGGCTGCAGAGACAGAGCAGGGATTCCATGAACAAAAACAGAAGATGGTCCACGAGCTCAAAGAAAGCACCCTATTTGCATGTTACGCAATTTGCATAAGCCCTTAAGTGGGGAAGTGCTCGGTGCCTGAAATGTGAAACACTGAAGAAAAAAAAAACTGACTTCCAGCCAAAGGCAAGCCCCAAATCTGCGCACAGCTGCT